GGTGGTGGCCCCGCGACTCTGGAACTCTCTCCCACCGGAGGTCAGAACTGCCCCGTCTATCCTGACATTCAGGAAACGGGTGAAGACGTGGTTGTGGAGACAGGCTTTCGATGAATGAGACAGCACCCTAGGATTGTGGATGGAAGATGAGGTATACTTGTTTTTAATATGACGACTGACCACCGTAGTTTTAAATATATTTGTTATTTTAAATGTGTTATTGTAATTATGAATTATGATATTTTACTGATTGTATGTTTTTATGGTTGTAAACCGGGCTGAGTCCCTCTAAGAGGTGAGAAGCTCGGTATAGAAAACTTTGAAATAATAAATAAATAAATAAATAATATTCTTGATCTGCATCTTCTCCCGCAGTGAGGGCATTGGTTTCCAGACGGAAGGTGATCCCGGTCAGGGTTGGTTTGATGCACCTTCCTCTTGGCACGTTTCTCTCTTTCACCCTCCACTTGTGCCTCTTCAAATTCTACAGCACTGCTAGTCACAGCTGACCTCGAGCTGGAGCGCTCACAGGCCAGGGCTTCCCAGTTCTCAGTGTCTATGCCAGAGTTTTTAAGGTTGGCTTTGAGCCCATCTTTAAATCTCTTTTCCTGTCCACCAACATTCCGTATTCTTTTATTGAGTTCGGAATAGAGCAACTGCTATGGGAGACGGTGGTCAGGCATCTGGACAACGTGGCCAGTCCAGTGGAGTTGATGGCAGAGGACTATTGCTTCAATGCTGGTGGTCTTTGCTTCTTCCAGCACGCTGACATTTGTTTGCTTGTCTTCCCAAGTGATTTGCAGGATTTTTCAGAGGCAGCGCTGATAGAATTGTTCTAGGAGTTGCATGAGAGGGATGTCTGCAAAGCAGGTGTGGCCTGCTGTAAATTGGGAATGGTACATCATCACATAAATGTATGCATATAGTTTTATAGTTAGGCGATCCCTCATAGCTTGAGGATGATTGTCTTCTAGGTGTGGTCTTGGCAGTGGGTCCATAGGTGGCTGTGGAGCCCTATTCTTGATCTGCATGTTCTCCTGCAGTGAGGACCTCAGTTTCCAGACTGAAGGTGCTTCCGGTCAGGGTTGGCTTGATGGGCCTTCCTCTTGGCACATTTCTCCCTTTCACCCTCCATTTGTGCCTCTTTGAATTCTGCAGCACTGCTGGTCACAGCTAACCTCCAGTTAGAGTGCTCAAGAGCCAGGCCTTCCCAGTTTTCAGTGTCTATGCCACAGTTTTTGAGGTTGGCTTTAAGTCCATCTTTAAGTCTCTTTTCCTGTCCACCCACATTCCATTTCCCATTCTTGAGTTGGGAATACAGTAACTGCTTTGGGAGACGGTGATCGGGCATTCGGACAATGTGGCCAGTCCAGCGGAGTTGATGGCGGAGGAGCATTACTTCAATGCTGGTGGTCTTTGCTTCTTCCAGCACGCTGACATTTGTCCGCTTGTCTTCCCAAGTGATTTGCAGGATTTTTCGGAGGCAGTGCTGATGGAATTGTTCCAGGAGTTGCCTGTGACATCTGTAGACAGTCCACATCTCGCAGGCGTATAGCAGGGTTGGGAGGACAATAGCTTTCTAAACAAGCACCTTGGCATCCCTGTGGATGTCCTGGTCCTCAAACACTCTGTGCTTCATTCAGAAGAATGCTGCACTTGCAGAGCTCAGGCAGTGTTGAATTTCAGTTTCAATGTTGACTTTTGTGGAGAGATGGCTGCCAAGGTAGCGGAAATGGTCAACATTTTCTAATGTTACACCATTAAGCTGTATTTCTGGAATCTGAATTTCACATATTCATAGATGACCTAAGGGGGATATTTTTTCTATCTGGACATTGCTTAATTACAACTTTTAGCTTGAAGGGTAAAATAAAACCCTAAAATAAAGTAAATACATTACTGAGAATGTTTAGTATGGAAATTAGATCAACAAAGCTTTATGGTACTATAATTTTCTATCTAATGTGCTACTTTGGTTGCGAATGTAACATGCTTATATTTGTAACATATTTGTGACATGTGATTAGAGTATATACAAAACTAAAAAAGACAATTAAGAACAAAGATACTTTACAAAGAAAGAGGTATTGAGTTGAATCATATGCGTGTTTTGTTGACATCAGTACCCCTTCTTGCGTAGATAACCTACGGAGGATTGATGCTTATTCTTAAAGCAAGCCTTTGGAACCCAGCAAGTTCATTTAAAGATATTTAATGGTTCTTAGACAGATATATAGGTGGATTAATTCTTCCCTGTGATCTACTGAGGGCAAACCTCTAAGCAAAGGTGTATCTACTTTGTGGAGTTCATGCAGTTTGACATTATTTGAACTGCCATGACTCACTACTATAGAGTTATGAGGATTTTAGTTTGGTGAGGCACCAGTACCTTTGGGCAGAGAAAGCCAAAGACCTTGTATAACTACAATTCCATAGCATTGGGTCATAGGAATTTAAATGGTGTCAAACTGCCTTGATTATACAGCGTAGATCCACTCTCAGATATAGCTTCATCCTCTAAAAGATTTTAAGGTTGCATTCTGGCAAAATTAACAATGCACCAGTAGACCACAGGAAAGCATTGATCCATCTCAATGTCTCTCTTTCCCAGGATGAAGTTTGACACCATTTGAGCTGCCATGACTCAATCCCATCATTCCCTCCTGACGTTTCGCCCATATCTATGGCAGGCATTCTCAGAGGTTGAGCGGTCTGTTAGAAACTAGGCAAGTGAGGTTTATATATCTGTGGAATGTCCATCGTGGAAGAATGAACTCTTGTCTGCTTGAAGCAAGTGCGAATGTTCCAAATGGCCACCTTGATTAGCATTTAATGGCCTTGCAGCTTCAAAGCCTGGCTGGTAGCTGCCTGGGAGAATCCTTTGCTGGAGTAACATTATGTATGTATACATAATGTTACTCCTCGGAGTAACAGTTTGGGGTTTTTTTTTTTTGGTTGTGTCAGGAGTGACTTGAGAAACTGCAAGTTGCTTCTGGTGTGAGAGAATTGGCCGTCTGCAAGGACGTTGCCCAGGGGATGCCTGGGTGATTTTGATGGTTTTTTTTAATCATCCTTGTGGGAGGTTTCTCTCATGTCCCCGCATGAGGAGCTAGAGCTGATAGAGGGAGCTCATCTGCCTCTCCCTGGATTCGAACCTGCGACCTGTCAGTCTTTAGTCCTGCCGGCACAGGGGTTTAACCCACTGCGCCACCGGGGGCTCCAACAGTTTGGTTTGTCAGGGCAAAGCAAACAAACAGACAAAATACAAAATTTGTGAGTTTGGTAGTTGATTAAATGTCCTTTGACCAGTATCTGGTCACTTGGAGTGCCTCTGGTGTTGCTGCAAGAAGGTCCTCCATGGTGCATGTAGCAGGGCTCAGGTTGCATTGTAGCAGGTGGTCAGTGGTTTGCTCTTCTCCACACTCGCATGTCGTGGATTCCACTTTGTAGCCCCATTTCTGAAGGTTGGCTCTGCATCTCGTGGTGCCAGAACGCAGTCTGTTCAGCACCTTCCAAGTCGCCCAGTCCTCTGTGTGCCCAGGGGGGAGTCTCTCATTTGGTATCAGCCATTGGTTGAGGTTCTGGGTTTGAGCCTGCCACTTTTGGACTCTCGCTTGCTGAGGTGTTCCAGCGAGTGTCTCTGTAGATCTTAGAAAACTATGTCTAGATTTAAGTCGTTGACGTGCTGGCTGATACCCAAACAGGGGATGAGCTGGAGATGTCTCTGCCTTGGTCCTTTCACTATTGGCTGCTACTTCCTGGTGGATGTCAGGTGGTGAGGTACCCAGACTCTTTTTGGCAGAAAAAAATTGAAGACCTTGTCAAACTACAATACTATGATTCCATAGGATTGAGTCATGGCAGCTCAACTGGTGTCAAACTTCATCCTGGGAAAGAGAGACATGGACGTGGATTAATGCTTTCCTATGATCTGAGAGGGGTCGACCAAGGGCAAAGATGGGTGGATGTCATCCTTGAAGTGACTGGACTGATCTTGAAGGAGCTGGGGGTGGTGACGGCCGACAGGGAGCTCTGGCGTGGGCTGGTCCATGAGGTCACAAAGAGTCGGAGACAACTGAACGAATGAACAACAACAATGCATATGTAACTAAGTAGCCAATGTAGAACGTGGTTGAACCTTCTGGACTACAGCAGTAGCCATACTAATTGGTGGCTTTTGGGGAAACTAGTCCAGTGGTTCTAAACCTTCCTAATGCCACGGCCCATTAATACAGTTTCTCATGTTGTGGTGACTCCCAACCATAAAATTATTTTTGTTGCTACTTCATAACTGTCATTTTGCTACTGTTATGAATCATAATGTAATACGATAAATTTTCATTCACTGGACCAAATTTGGCACAAATACACAATACACCCAAATCTGAATACTGGGGAGGGATTGATTTTGTCATTTGTGAATTGTAGTTGCTGGGATTTATAGTTCACCTACAATTGAAGAGCATTCTGGACCCCACCAATGATAGAATTGGGCCAAACTTCCCACACAGAACCCCCATGACCAACAGAATATACTATGTTTTCTGATGGTCTTTGGTGAGCCCCCTGACACCTCCTTGCGACCTTCTCGGGGGTCCCAACCCCCAGGTTGAGAAACACCGGATTAATGCTTTCCTGTGATCTGAGGGTGTTTGCAGGCGAAACGTCAGGAGAGAATGCTTCTAGAACATGGCCATATAACACGAAAAACCTACAACAAACCAAAATACCCTATAGAATTACCTTTTTGTCAACACTTTAATAAGGTCTGAACCCTTCTCTGCCAAAGCCTGCGGGTGCCTCACCAAAGGACAGCTCCCAGGGTTCCCTAGCATGGAGCCAATGCAGTCCCAGTGGTGCCAAACTGCATTAATTCCGCAGTGTAGGCGCTCCTGAAGTCTTGGCTCAGTGATGCGTGCGCTTGGATAGCCAAGGCTTGGAGAGAGGCAAAGGGGGACCTGCTTTTGAGCGAGAGAAAGGGGAGGAAAAGCAAGGAAGGGAGGAAGGAAGAGAGCGACTGCTTTGGCGGAGAGGAGGCGGCTGGGTGGGCGGAGGGCCCGGGTGCCCCTTCCCCTCCCAGGCAGGTGGACACAGCCCGGGGCCGGCTGCCAAATTCCTCTGGGGCGGTGGGAGGAGAGCTCTGCGCGCCGCTCCTGGAAAGGGCTGAACTTTGCGCTTCCCAATGAGGCAGCACTCGCCTCCAGACGCGCCTCGGGAGGAGGAAGAGGAAGAAGAGGAGGAGAAGGAGGAGAAGGAGCCTCCTGTGGGGACCTTCCTGGAGCAGAGCCTTGCCTTGGGAGACCGGGGGCTGCAGCAAGAGCAGCAGCAGCAGCAGCAGGAGGAGGAAGAGAGCAGGAACAAAAGGCAGAAGAAGAAGAGTTGCACAGGTAGGTCGGGCGAGCGAGCGCCTCTCTCCTTGGCGCAGCAACGCTTGGTTGGCTTTTCGGCTTTCCCTGCCCTCGCTCCAAAGCTTCCCAGGATCCCACATAGGCATTCTCTGCCTCCTTCTAGGCGTCGGTGTTTGATTCATTAAGGAAATGAATGAGAATGGCTGCAAGCCTGTTTGGAGAGACCTTAGAAAGGGTCTCTTTGGCAGTCAGTCCATGACAGCCAGCGCGTTTGGTCCATTGCTTCTCAAACAATCTGCGATGCCTTCCTTGTTGGTTTGCGACTTGGGTGCTTCCCAAACAAAGGTGCATTTGGGGTGAAAGTCAAGCTCCTATAGGTATCTCTCTCTCTCTCTCTCTGAGTGTGTGTGTGTGTATTTGCTGTCCTCAGGAATATGGAGACCAGACAAAAGGGAAACTTCACTAATTCTTACCTGTTCACTGGCAACATTCACACTTGCCTCAAGCAGACAAGAGTTCTTCCTCCCACATTATTTCACAGATATATAAACCCCACTTGCCTAGTTTCCAAAAGACCCCCCCCCCCCCCCCCCCCCCACACACACACAATCCTCTGAGGATGCCTGCCATTGATACAGGCAAAATGTCAGAAGACAATGCTGCTCATGGAAGCTGTGATTCCTTCCTTGTTGGTTTGCGACTTGGTTGCTTCCCTAACAAGTGTGCATTTGGGGTGAAAGTCAAGCTCCTGTAGGTATATCTGTGCATGTTTGTGTATCTATATCTGTGTGTGTGTATGTGCTGTCCTACCACAGGAATAAGGAGACCAGACAAAAGGAAAACTTCATTAATGGTTACCTATTCAGTGGCAACATTCACACTTGCCGCAACCAGACAAGAATTCTTTCTCCCACCCTGGACATTATTCCACAGATACATAAATCTCACTTGCCTAGTTTACAGTGATTCCTTCCTTGTTGGTTTGCAACTTGGGTGCTTCCCAAACAAGGGTGCATTTGGAGTGAAAGTCAAGCTCCTGTAAGTATATTTGCGTGTGTATGTGTGTAAGGGAAACTTCATTAATTGTTATCTATTCAATGGCAACATTCACCCTTTCCTCGAGCAGACAAGAGTTCTTTCTACCACTCTGGACATTATTCCACAGCTATATAAACCCCACTTGCCTAGTTTCCAATAGATCTCACAACCTCTGAGGATGCCTGCCATAGATAAAGTCAAAACGTCAGGAGAGAATGCTGCCCAGGGAAGCTCCGATTCCTTCCTTGTTGGTTTGCAACTTGGTTGCTTCCCTAACTAGGGTGCATTTGGGGTGAAAGTCAAGCTCTTGTAGGTATATGTATGTGTGTTTGTGTATTTGCTGTCTTCCACAGTAATAAGGAGACCAGACATAAGGGAAACTTCATTAATTGTTACGAATTCAATTGCAACATTCCCACTTGCCTCAAGCAGGCAAGAGTTCTTTCTCCCACAGTGAACATTCCACAGATATATAAACCTCACTTGTCTAGTTTCCAACAGACCTCACAACCTCTGAGGATACCTGCCATAGATCCAGGCAAAGTGTCAGCAGAGAATGCTGCCCAGGGAAGCTGTGATTCCTTCCCTGTTGGTTTGCGACTTGGTTGCTTCCCTAACAAGTGTGCATTTGGGGTGAAAGTCAAGCTCCTGTAGGTATATGTGTGAGTGTATATATATGTGTGTGTATGTATATATATATTTGCTGTCCTACCACAGGAATAAGGAGACATAAGGGAAACTTCATTAATTGTTACGAATTCAATTACAACATTCCCACTTGCCTCAAGCAGGCAAGAGTTCTTTCTCCCACCCTGGACAGTATTCCACAGATATATAAACCTCACTTGCCTAGTTTCCAACAGACCTCACAACCTCTGAGGATACCTGCCAAAGATCCAGGCAAAACGTCAGCAGAGAATGCTGCCCAGGGAATCTGTGATTCCTTCCCTGTTGGTTTGCGACTTGGTTGCTTCCCTAAAAAGTGTGCATTTGGGGTGAAAGTCAAGCACCTGTAGGTATGTGTGTGTGTGTGTGTGTGTGTATGTATATTTGCAGTTCTACCACAGAAATAAGAAGACCAGACAAAAGGGAAACTTCATTAATTGTTACCTATTCAGTTGCTACATTCCCACTTGCCTCAAGCAGGCAAGAGTTCTTCCTCCCACCCTGGACATTATTCCACAGATATTTAAACCCCACTTGCCTTGTTTCCAACAAACCTCACAACCTCTGAGGATGCCTGCCATAGATGTGGCCGAAACGCCAGGAGAAAATGCTTCTGGAACATGACCATTCAGCTCGGAAAACTCACAGTAACCTTGTTACCTATTCAATTGCTCTTATGGTGAAACAGACACACAGAGAAACAAAATCTCAATTTGTGCAAATTTTTTGGAAGTTGGATTTATACATTATACAATAGGTATTACAGTTTCCCTTCTCCAAAATGCTCAGGACCAAAATTCCTGCTTCTTGCCAGGGGGTTGGACTGGATGGCCCATGAGGTCTCTTCCAACTCTTTGATTCTATGATTCTATGATTCTAAAATGTTCTGCATTTTGGATGTTTTTGTTTTGGACTCTGGAATCCTTGCATATATATCCTTAGATATCTTAAAGATAGGGCCCATCTCAATCTGAAAATCCTTGATGTGTCATATACACCTTGAACACAGAGCCTGAAGGTAGTTCTATATGCAATATTTCAAAAATAACGTTGTGCATGAAAGTAAGTTTGTGGCAAAGTTTGTGGCAAAGGCGTCGCTATGTCAGCCAACCATGTGGACAATTTGGAGTAGTTTGGATTTTGGAATTCCAGATAATTCACATTCAAGTTGAAATTGGACATATGTTTGTATCTATCTGTCTATGTTAGTTGATAAGTTTCATAGGGTCTGATTTTGAATAAGAGTAGGCTGGTGTTATTGTGTGTCTCTAAATTGATTGTGACTTATGGCAGTTCTATGGTGAATCTATAACGGGGTTTGCTTAGCCAGATCTGCTCAGAGTTGCTGTGCCTTTGCCTTCCTCTGAGGCTGAGAAAGAGTGACTCACCCAGGATTTTCTAAATGTGTGCCTGTGGATTTTCCAACAAGTGTTAATTCTTCTCAGCGTTGCACTGTTGGAAGCAATAGGTTCCAAGGGAAGAAACCTACTACGATTGTATCTTGAAGTGTCTTCTAACTGAGGTGCCATTGTAATGTGAAACTCGGATCTGAATACCCAGTGAATGGCTTTGGGGAACCTTTGTGTGGTTTCTTTGCAAATCGGATCCTGGGAAATCTAAGAGAAGACTCCGGAGCGTTGGCTCCTTCTCTTTTTCACTTCATAGTCCTGTACTTGTCTCCTTATAGGTAAGCTGCACCGAATTCAATGCATATAGGATTGCAAACTCAGTGTCTTGTCTTTGTAGCAAGAATTTTTTGTGCGTCACGGTAAAACAGAGGCCCATATTGCATGATTGTATGGCAAATATAGATAGCAATGCACTGTCCAATCTGTCAATATATACCCTCCAGTATAATAAAGGACAGAATGAATATTATTGCTATTCTTCCTCTTTTTGATCGGTGCCCAGAAATACTCAAATTGGAATATGAACTAGGAACAGTTAAGACGATGGAACGGTTGAGGAATTGAACAAGAAGACGTAGTTTTTATAATTTTTATAAATTTTATTATTTATTGCTTTTATGGTTTTGAAACGTATTATGATGTGAATTTGTTTTGTTTTTAACTGATGTATGTATTTATATATGGCATCTAATTGTGCCAATTTGTATGCCGCCCTGAGTCACCTTCGGGCTGATATGGACGGGATAGAAGTGATGTAAATAATAATTTAAAAATACTATTTCCTTCAGAAATAACAATCTCAGGATATTGTGTTTGTTTGGCTAACAGTGCTAAAACAGTGTTTTGTAACGTTCCTAATGCCGAGACCCCTTAATACAGTTCCTCATGATGTGGTGTGGGCTTGGCCGGGGGGATTATTTATTTTGTCATTTGGGAGTTGTAGTTGCTGGGATTTATAGTTCACCTATAATCAAAGAGCATTCAGAAACCCAACAATGATTGAACTGAGCACACAGAACTCCCACGACCAACAGAAAATACTGGAAGAGTTTGGTGGGCATTGGCGTTGAGTTTGGGAGTTTGGGAGTTGTAGTTCACCTACATCCAGAGAGCACTGTGGACTCAAACAATGATAGATCTGGGCCAAACTTGGCACAAAGACTCAATATGTTCAAATGGGAACACTGGTGGAGTTTGGAGAAAATAGACCTTGACATTTGGGAGTTGTAGTTGCTGGGATTTAGAGTTCACCTACAATCAAAGAGCATTCAGAGATCCACCAATGATGGAACTGAACCAAACTTGGCACACAGAACTCCCATGACCAACAGAAAATACTGGAAGGGTTTGGTGGGCATTGACCTTGAGTTTTGGAGTTGTAGTTCACCTACATCCAGAGAGCACTGCAGACTCAAACAATGATGGATCTGGACCAAACTTGGCACAAATACTCAATATGTTCAAATGTGAACACTGCTGGAGTTTGGAGAAAATAGACCTTGACATTTGGGAGTTGTACTTGCTGGGATTTATAGTTTACCTATAATCAAAGAGCACCACCACCATCTATAGAATTGGACCAAACTTCCCACACAGAACCCCCAATGACTAACAGAAAATACTGTTTTCTGACATTTGGGAGTTGTAGTTGCTGGGATTTATAGTTTACCCATAATCAAAGAGCACCACCACCAGCTATAGAATTGGACCAAACTTCCCACACAGAATCCCCAATAACTAACAGAAAATACTGTTTTCTGGTGGCCTTTGGTCACCCCTCTGACACCCCCTTGCAACCCCCTCTCAACGCCATGCTAAAACATATTCTGTCTCGTGAATGGAGTACAGAATCTTCAAATAACCCATCAACTGTTTGGTTATGGGTCCCTTGAAATCATGCCCAGATTAAGGATTCTGAACATTCTG